AAATCGGGTTCCGTCGGTTGTTGAAGCTACTTTTTTTTTCGACTTTTTCAAATAAATTCAATGGCGTTGTATTTTACCCGCATAGCCCCATCATCTGGCAACAACACTTCAGTTCTGTTCAACACGCTCTCCGCCGATTTCAATGCATTTTTTAATGCAATAAATCCAATGATCAAACTAGTGTTAAAAATTTGATTTTTGTTGGTAGATTGAACTGATGTTTGACGGCAGAAATGAGGCTGTCCATGTCCTCATTATCAATGCCTTTCAGGTCGTTCTTCACTGTCGAAAAATGCCAGAAGTCACTGGGTACCTACTCAACGTATCATAAACCGATTTTTTGACATTTATCTTGATCGTTGGATTTATCACAGGAAAAAATGCATTGAAATCGGCGGAGAGTATGTTGAACAGTAATAAAGTGCGGCCAATGATGGTGCTTTGCGAGTAAGCATTTTTTTTTTCAATTGTTGAAACTCCGTTGGATCTACAGTATTGTATTTCAAAAAGTCTCAAAACTTATGAATCAACCCTCGTACACATCTACAGTACACAGTATATAAAATCGGACTTGAAAGGGAGAAAAAATAATTGGAATTCCTTCACTTGAACCACGTTTCGACACGAGAATGACTCACCAAGGACTGAATTAGCAACTCGAACGAATACCAATTAAAGCGCCAAGTCCACAGGTTTTTCATTGTTCTTAACAACAGCAACGCAAAAAAGGGGTTTAAAATGTAAAAGAATAATAAACCATTGCAACACAGGTACGTTGCAGTTCTGCTTCGTAGGATACGTCCACCAGACGAACATGACTCGCATGAGAGGAACAAAATTAAGTTTCCGCATTTCGTCGCATTGCCGTCAAAGGTACAACTCAGTCTGGTGCCGACGAAAATCTCGGGGTCAAGTGCGTGGTGCACGTGGGGTACATCACTCAAAAGACGACTTTCCGTGATAGGATCTTTTGGGTGAAAATTAAAATAACCCGGAGGTGAATTCCATTATTCTGCCCTTCTGCATTCCACACAACAATGATTTCGGTTACTGAAATTGAATATCGTTACAACGAGATTACCCTGAGAAAGGCTTCGATATGAAATAAAATCCGATCAAACAAATTAAAAATTACGCCGGAGCTATAGGACACGGACCAAGATGAATTCATTGAGAGCATTAATTCGTTATAACGAGATAAGTGGTAACGAGGTTCTACTGTGGTGTTGCGCAGGCTTTATGCGATGAGTCCTCATAATGTGATGGCGCTTTATAATTATAATATTGGAAGTTTGGAACGCAAAGGAATAAAATTGAAATGGAGTCATTCATATACTGTAACCAAGTTTCGATGAAGTGAAATTCACTAGAATTTAACTGCAAAAATGACAATTCATGTGGAAACTGCTATACATGTATGAAATTCGTGCTTTTAAATGTACAGTATTTTTCATGTCAGCAGACGTCATTCAATGCCTCAAGTGCAACAGGAATTTAAAAAAATGAAAGATTTCATTTGCACAATTTTGTCATGAAAATTGTGAGACTGTGGAATTAGGTAAGTTATTGGCTGACCTTACTTATTGAGGTAAAAGCATAGAACTATAAGCCATTGCTGTTCATATCCTGTGGCATCCTTTCAGTATTTTCACTGTATTGACAAAGGCATGACATTTCAACAGAAAATTTACTGCATTCTCAAGAGTGTATCAGCAATGTAATTGTTGCAGAATAAATATATNGCATATTTGTTCGAAGTTTTCATACATCACGTGTGCACAGTATAACTGGACTTCATATTGTTATTTGCTTCTTAAGCTCCTTCGGATGAAATTGTGTGGTTTTTCTGCGCGGTCATTTTCTGTACCTCCAAGTCGAGAAACAAATTCAATTTTTGGGGGAATTTATCCGTTTTTTTTTTTATGAACAGGAGAACCAATTAAATATTTTCCATAGAAATCTATGCGAAAATGTGATCCACACTGAATAGCAGTATTTCTCAAAAAGAATGTCATTCATTTAAACGTCACTTGTGTCATACAGGAACTGTGTTTTTGTCCACGTACATACTTCGGGCACAAATTGATGAATCTAGTCATCCTTGAACCTATCCGACATCCGAAAGCTAAATAAATTTCCGTCGTCTATACACATTGCTGATGCAAATGCTAGACTGTAATGACTGAAACTTCTAATGAAACGAGGAGTCTTTGAGGGGGAAAAAAATCATGCAGCGATTTTCCCATCATCTCAGCCTACTTTGACATTCATATACATATTTACAGACGACTCTTCTCAGTAAGATAATCACCGACGAGACAAGATTTCCCCGAGATTAAAAGTTCAGAACACGTACCTGCAATGGCGGCATCGTCGCCGGCGCCACGCGACGAAACTTTGCCCAGTTCGTTAGCCATTCTCGACCTCCTGTGAGACGACAAGACAAAAAGGAAAAAATTAGGTCACCAGTTGACTAATTGCAGACGAAGACCTTGACCGAATCGACCGACGAGACACAAGGCTTAGCTTAAAAACACACGACGACGACGACGAAGCTTCACAACTGCCCCGACGACGCTACAGAGTGTCCACAGAACAAAAAAAAGTGATCGAGGGAGAACTACGGAAACCAACTCGCGCAAAGTCTCGTCTCAGACTGATCGACACCAATGACGACTCATTTGCTCTTTTTTTTTTGCGACCTGTCGATGACGTAAGCATCCTTATAATCCTTGACTCGCAAAAACGAGGAGAATCGCTCACGCCGATCAATGGAAGCCACAAAAATAAACCCGTCTTCTGTCATCATTTCCAAGGTTTTCTCGCGTCTAATTTCAGTCGAAATTCACTTTTCCACATGGAGAAAAATGAAAAAAATATATATTTATTTATACATTTATATTCACCTCGGATTTACACTATGAAATCAATTCATTCATTTCCGGGGCGGGAACGAACTGTAGAGTATCCATTCATCCCCTGTTCATTGAAAGCATACAATGCGCTAACCAAAAATTGAGAGTACTCGTACGGTACTTCGCATGGTGTTACGAAAATAAGAATATGAAGGTAGTGCCAAAGAAAATTCAAAATTCTTGGCATGATCCGCAAAAGCACCAGTGCTGAATATAGTACTGTTTCTGGTTGAGAAAACGGGGGATTTTTCCGCAATATCGGGACTCGGTTCTCAATTGGAGCCCGAAATAGGGAAGGAAATTAATACTGTAAGTATTCTGAAGCCGAAGATCATTTTTAAATCTGAGAATATAACAGGTAAAACTCTTGGCATCAACAAAAGCCCGATTCTTGTCTCATCAATGTCGATTGAATTAATAGAGAAGAATCACAGATGCCGTGAAAAGCTGGAAAGATTTAACTCCTCAGTTCGCTATATTGCTTTTGGGCAATATGATGATCTTAATTTCTTTGTGTTTTAACATGTTCATTTGAAATAAATTTCATGATTATGGGTTCATGACGCCAGAAATTTTCACTTTTTTTCGTTGGTCTAGTCGCGAGTTAATAATCTTGTACAATTTGAGAAAGAAGGGTGTCTTTCATTCTCAAAGCAATTGGAAATTCGGTCAGGATGAAATTCTTGGAATGTGAAGAAGAAACACATACGCATAATACTTCACTTCGATCAGAATAACTTCCTGTAATTTAAAAATAGGCGTCGTACAGGGTAACACATTCGTTTTCAAATTCGACAGACTTTCAACAAAAGTTAACACGAATTACAGACCCGTGAAACAGGAACAGAAAAGGCAGAAAAAATGATGCAGATATTAATAATTGACCAATGCACGTAGTTCATAATGAGTGCAATATACTCGAATCATTGGCGAAAAAATATACTGTACGTACAGTATTGAGTAGAATACAATCAGTGACCACGAATCAAACCACTAGACCATTTATTACACCAATTTCTACCGCTGAAATTGAAGACGATAAATCTAGAATCGATATGGTTACTTGTTTATTTATTTTTTCCCGATGTAATTTTTTTGGGAGTGATGAAACAATGGTGGGGTAGTTCTTCAGCACAAAATTCAATTTAAAATCCGGTGAGCAAAGCAAAAGTTCAAAACCAATAATTTCGTTGAGAAATTCCCGGAACATTCTCTGGTACCACGCAATCGATATGCAATAAATGGAAGTTTTCAGAATTGCTTTACCAAATATTTCACGAAGTATTTTAAAACAGAGGACTCGCGCCAACAAAATCAAATTGTGAACTGGAAACTTTACAAGGTCCATCACATCGATTGAATTCAAAGTGGACTTCAACTCTATCAAAGATTCTTTTAGAAATATATTTTTTTGAATCGGGATTTCGGTTTTTGGGAAGATTTAAAAAAACTAGTTCAATAGGTAGTGAACGATTTTGTATCACAACGGATGCATGCAGCATCCGTTGTGATAGAAAACGGGTCGTACTTTACGGGTCGTACAGCAACAACTGGAATAATTTTCTTCTGTTTTCTTTTTCTTTCGAATCTTGCTTTCATTGACAGGTTAATAGATCAGGCGAGGGAAGAGAAGTGTTTTCTCTTCAATTTTCATTTCAAATCATTGCCAAGGTTTACACGAGTTGACGAGAAGGTAATCATTTCTTTCTCGTATGCTGGAGTTGTAATTCGGAGGCTTGGGCATTGGAATTCAAATACTGTTGAATCTTTTTTTATTTAACGAATAAATTGAAATTTTTTGTTGTTGTTGATATTTTCTTATATTAGTACTTTTCATGACTATGAAAAATATTTATTTCCGTTGAAGTTTTAAGCATTTGAAGTTTTAAGAATATAATCTTTTTCAGCAGTCCAAATAAAATTCAAAAGTCGAGGGATCAACTATCCATAACTTGACGCAAATTTGAGGCCTTGATGGAATAGCAATTCAAATTTATAATAAAATTACTGAAGTACCCTCAGTAATTTGCTTCCTGAATTTAAAAACCTATTCGGAATAAAACTGTATTTGAATGAGATTCAGGATGTACACTATTTCGAAGGAAAGAACACCTGATTGATCTCACAATCGAGAATGAGGAGCAACTATATGTTTCTTGCCTCGTCTGTTCTACTCGCCCATCAATAACAGTAAGCAGTAGAAAAGAGAAAAAATAATAATGAAGTTATTTCAGTCGTTGCTGTGCGAGTTGTAGAGGTATCCTGACAAAGCTACGTTTTCGGACAGCTGCTACAACACATCGACGTTATTTATGAAAGAACTCTACAGGTTATCCCCACGTCGTGGATTCCAAAAACTTGCAGAATAATTGAAACCACCGAGAGTCAGTCAGGGCCTCGGGCAAACCCCGAAGCGGAGGTTCGACTCATTCGGCGTTGCAATGCAGTAAAAAAACAGGAAGAAGAAAAAAAACCTTACACAGAGCTCCAATCTAGAAAATAAGAAAAAAAGACAAATGTCTCTCGTGGTTTACCGGTTTCCAGAATAAATCACGACCGCCGCGCTATCAATTTTGAAACCATCCCCCCCAAACCCCATTTTTGGAGCGCTACCGGAGAATAATCTCGGTAGAAAATAATAAATCGGCACCCTCATGGGGGGCATTACTAAAAAAAAAGGAAACAAGGAGACAGAATAATACAAAAAATAGCGAGGATAATGCTGACCCACACGATGCGACAGCGTTGCCAAGAAAGGTAAGAAGTTCACCAACCAACCAACCACATTCGAATGGGCAATTCTGAGCGCTTCCAGAACAGCACAGATGAAACAATAGAGGTACTGTTTTGACGCACTGCTCAATGGTCCTTGGATAATGGATCTTTCAGGCAACAGGCTTGGAATGTCATCAATCCTTGTTTCGGATATTGGACCCCACTTTTGAAACTAGACAGCAACGAACTGAGATAAATTACACGTTGCAGAAATACATGCATTCATGCATTTAAGAACAAGACTTTTCAAGTCACTGTTTGCACCAAAAGCTTGACGCCCAAGAAAAAGTTAGGTTCAAAAGAGTGAGAATATTTCAAGATCTGTCAGTCCAAACAAATGTTATATGATAAGAGAGAAGTTAGAAAATATCCGTAGCTTCACTTCAACACCTTGAGGATTTTTCCAAGTCTAACATTCGCGGAGTTATTTGCTTTGGAAGTTTGCGCGTTGTGAGTTGCGCCACGAACAAAGCATGTTTTGTTTGCTGATTTCATTTCTTTTGGGAGCAAAGTTTTATTCCACCATGCGAGATTTTACTCGCGGATGGTGTGCGTGATTGTTGTCTTCATGAAAGCTGTGTTCAGACAATAATAAGTCCTCTTTTAACATCGACGGAGTGAAGATGCTCCAGCTTCCTTCATATTTGCATCCATAAATGTAGATTTGCACTTTAAATTGAAATCCATTGCAGGCTGAGTAACTGCCTCAGCACTCAGATGTATCTTGCATCCGGAATGTGTTTTTGCAAAATGTGGCTGCCAGCACTACATTTTTTACAGAAGCTTTCTTCATGTTGTCGATTTTTTTCAATGTAATCCCATCGTAAACATTTTCCTCGTTATTTTATCATCCTTCTGAAAAACGTGATTTAAAATGTTAATGATTCATACAAAAATCAGTGTAGAATTCCACAGTGAGAAAAATACTAATATACTGTACTGCACATTGACTTCCGCGGTCTAAAACTGATTATACATTCAATTTACCTTCACATTACTCATTTAATACAACAGGCAAGTACAGTACAGTACGTTTTTCGGACAATACAGTTGAACATCTGCGAGTAGGACTTTGGGATACCAACGAAAAAAATGACAGAAAATTCGAGTTACGGAGGATTCAAGTTGAGGAAACGAGCCTTTGTGTGCGGGGAGAGAAAGAGGAATTATAGAAATTTTAATTGGTGGTATTCTAGGCCTTAATTATATTCCTAAATGAGTTGGCATTTTGCTGAAGTTGGAGGTATGGGTTCATTTGTCCAATTAATCTCTCCCNGACCCCATGAACTAGCATTTTGCATGCAGATCTGAGAATGAATAGATTCACAGAATAAAACCAGTAGTACGCGTCTTTCGTTTGCGTAACTATGAAACTGCCAAATTATGCAGGCTTCCTGGGTAGTAAATTACCCACAGATTCCAAGTACTTCCGCAAATTTGAGATCCATGTCGATGTATCCCAAATACAGTACGAGCCGAACTACAGTGTTTTTTTTTCAATGAGTAGGTTCGGATTGAAGTCAGTCGTGTATTCGAAGTACTGTACATGAAGCAAATACAGTATCACCGTAATAGTATTCAAATCCATGCAGATGTGCACGCAAAATCACCCAGCTCAAGGTTTCATTCCGCCATTTGCGGCTCCGCACGAACTCGCACATTTCTCCGCCTTATGAAATCATCATCATCTTCCCAACTCATCCTGGGATAATTTCATCAGATTTGGGAGATAATTACGCCAACGGAAAGTTGGGCAAAGTCCCACCGCAAATCGCATTAGACGAAGGAACTTGAAAAGCAGCTGGGATTCGGGACGCAGCTCGCTGCTCGTCACTTCGATAATAAAAATAAATTTAAAAAATAAAACCACACGCACTAATTAGACACGCCTCAGGGGAACTGCCAGGTACGAACCGAATCCGAAAACGAAGGCTGATGATGTCAGTGCCGTTGCTGGTTCTGTTTTCATTTTTTCCCCACAAGAATTTCATTTTCTTCTCCCCTTCCCGACTTCTCTCCGAAATTAAAAAAAAAATTATAACTGAAACATTGACATGAATACTGTCGAACCTCGTCGGGTGGAACTTTGAAGGGACAAGCAAAATAATTTTACACTTGGGAAAACGAGTTTTCGTGTTGGGGAAAATACAAAAGAAATACAGAAAATTTTATTCATTCATCTTCTTCACATTAAATTATTTCTTAAATGAGTTGATTGGATGCTGAACACAGATTCAAAGGTTCATTTGTCCAATTAATCTTTAGCGTCCAAAGTTTTTTGTGGTTCAATGTAAAAGTGTCAAAAGGAGAGAGGACACACTTAATTTGATATTGGTTTTCGGAAGGTCTTTTAGGCTCACTAAACTTCTCCTTTCGAAGGCTCAACCCCTACAAGATAATGCATTGTTTTCAGGGGAATCCAGCTACAATGCATGAAAAAAAATCGACTCGAGGAAATTGTGATTTATCGAGGTTCAGGATGATGCTAAAAATTAATGCTAGTCAAAATCTTGCACGCTTCATAAAAATTTCAACCGCATCCTTTTCGCAGCATGAATTAAACTTTCAAAACCAATCAAAAACAAAAAGAGTGGAGAAAGGAAAACAAAAACCGCATCATTCACCATTCCTCGAACCTATTCCCATGATTTTATTTTTTCCACCACGAAGATGTGCGAGGAGAATATATTCGATTGTAAAATACGAAAGCTTCGACGAGGAAGCTATAAATTCGAAATATTTGCCGAGAAAGCAGTGAGGTATCATTCGATCTGCGGAAAACTTATCTTCGCTTTTGGCTAGTATCTCTACGCTAGTGTAACCTATTGTACTTTTGCGTAGCATTGACGTTGTGGTTGTTGTGATTTTTACTATGGTTACAGAAGTTTCTTATGAAAAGTGAAAAGGCTACGCGGCTATTTTGTGAAAATCTTTCGAGGGAGAACTGTATGTACAGTACAAATGAGGAAAAATGAAAATTTTTCCTCCAAGAATGTAGGAATCATTTAGAAGCATTCTTTTAGTTTTCCAAGATTTTCCTCAGGCACTCGGACCACGAAACGAGATTTCAGTCCCAATAACCTTTTTTTTTTTACAGTAAGCATTTTCAGATCTAATTCCCCTAACCTCCAAACTATGAACCTTTCCATGTAAAACAAAAAAAAAGATTTTGTGGAATACCCTTCGAACTCGACTTGGTCCGAATGTATTTGTCTTTTTTTTTCGAATAAATAAATGCATGACAGAGACACCAATGCGACCATGCATATATTCATAGCCAATTTATCACGATTCCAAAAGGTTGGATATCAGGGAGTAACATGAATTATACACGATATCGTTCTACTCGTAGACATCCAACGCATACGATTTATTTCTACAGTAGGTGCACATTTTTACCACTATCCGAATCCAGCTGGAAAACTGAGCGTTTCTGAGAAACGAAGGAAAGTTGTGCCACAGCTTTCGTTCTACTCGTAGACATCCAACGCATACGATTTATTTCTACAGTAGGTGCACATTTTTACCACTATCCGAATCCAGATGGAAAACTGAGCGTTTCTGAGAAACGAAGGAAAGTTGTGCCACAGCTGTAATTTTTTATGACAGTACCCAACCTGTATTTATATTTACCCGATTTCAATGCGCGCCTTTCGGTAATATTTTTATGAAAAATATATTAGACACGCGCTTTACACTGGCGAAAAAATCCAAAAATTACCCAACCGCTTGAAACTACTCGGAAAAATGATCCTTTTCCAGGAAAAAATTATCACAGTAACGGAACAATATCATTGGTGAATACACCAATTCAGGAGTGATAGAAAAAGCTGCAATCATAAGTTGGTGTCAGAATGCAAGAAATTTTTGTGGTACCTTGATGCAATAAATTACTTCGATTTTTCATTCCAGTGTCTTTATTGAAGGCACTACCAATGAAAACTTTTCGCAAGGGGAAAACTTCTCCTCTGAAACTTGCGTTTCGAAAGGAGATACACGTTTCTTGAATCAGCTGTTCAAAAATAATGGAGGGCTTCTTATTCAATGGGTACATAGTACTTCAGGTGACACGGTATTATTTCCAAGAAAGGGCTGAAGCTAACTACGGCGGTAACTTTGAAATTCAGACGAAAGGAACAAGATATTCCATAACTTGGGATTGGAATGCATGACCCGTGAATGTTTTAGAGGTTGTGAGTATTGTTTCGTGGAATTTTAGAACGCAAATGAGCGGATATACAATGCAAGTACGGTTGCTGGTAAGGTGAAAAACGTATTTATATTCGAAAAATATTCTTGCTCAAAATATAAGATTTTTTTTTTTCCTGTACAGCATCACGTTTCACTTGAGCGTATTTGCGCTCGTTGTCGGGCAGGACTAATAAATACAGCGGAATTTAAAAAAAAAAGAACAGGACAGCACCAGGCTTTTTTCATCGAATAACATTTTTGGGCGACCCGGTATTATGCAGTAAAAGGCCTCACAAGCTTCTTGGTCCGACTGTCAGCTTCTCGAACCCCGGTGTGTTAGTTTATTTAGTCCTAATACGATGATGTCTGGTTACACGTTACTGGGCTTCGTGTCGTTGCTTGTGCCCCGTAGAATAAAGCAGCGTTACTGGCTGGTCTAAAATAGTACTGTGGCAAAGTACTCGTTAATAACTAGTGCTTCATTCAACAGAAACTACAGTCGAATTCTCTCTAAGTAGAATACCTCTACGTGTTCACTTGTTTTCAAGTCCCTTTCAGAATTCCCTACGAAAAAAGTGCATAAAAACATCTCCAACTCGAAAATATTTCCCCTCTAACCTGAACCTCGATAACTCGCATTTTCTGAAGGCATGATGGCTCTTATTTCATTGACGCAAGAAAAAATAAAAGCAGAAAAAGTTTAATTGATGTGCTTTGAAACGAGAGGAAGACTAATTGGGCAAGTAAACCCTCGCATTTAAGTTCAGCATCCTGCAAACTAATTTGAAAAGGAATTTAAGGCTAACAATATCCCCAATTAAAATTCCCTGCAATTCTTTCTTCCCCGCAACAAAAAAACCCTTGGCTCTGTGACTCGTTTTATTTTGTATCACAAACTTCGACTCAAAAAAGGTTCAACTGTATAAAATAAAAATCTCTCATCGCTTTGGTCTGAATTGAATTTTTTTTTTTTTAGCCTACAGTAGACCAAATAAAACATCGCACACATTTACAGTGTGCTGACCTTTGGACACCTTGGCATTGGACACGGGAGAAAAACTGTCGGGGTGACGAATTGTTTTCTCGGCACCGCATAATTGAACCAGCAAAACGTAGGTGAACTTTAATTAAATTGAATCCCCGAGAGAGACTGGTTCGTAAGCACACAGAGAACAAACAAAATTCCTTCCGGGTCTCGGATGAAACCCACGGGGTCAATATCCGGCGCAAACATTACCACATCAAACTGACAAATTAAAGGGGGATGGGAAGAAATTCGACGCACCGTCTTGAGAATATGTCAGAAATAAGCACAGTACTAGAGCTCAAAGGACTCATGAACCTCTCACGACCTCTAGATAATCTCGAATTCCAAATCCGGAGACTTATTCTTTTATTCACATAATGCTACTGCATAAAGCCATCACAAAGGGCATTCCCTATTTTTTATGCAGAGCTGAAATGTAGACGGATTCCATTAGAATATGGGACAGGTTTTAATATTCTCAGTGCGTCATAAGCTTCTCATATCATTTTAGGCGAGTATTAAATCATGGAATCCAAGCAGCCCTTCCTGGAAAAAAATTTCCACGGTTTCAGTCCACAAGTACTTGTTTCACATGGAATGACAAATTCCTATACAGTAGTGATTTTTCAAAAGCGTCCTTCGACATGCATTGAAAAATGCAAACGTCTCGAAAATTAAATAATACAAAAGGGGCTCAATTATTGAAAACCCAGTTCTTCATTCCCGACGACTATTTGATGCACAGTGCTTTCTAAAATTTCTGTCACGATAGCAAGTTGAAGGAAAAACTTGTATACTTTTTGAGCAATAAAAAAATTAAGGATAATACAGATAAATGCAGAAAAATGATTAATTCCCAGAGACACTTTATCTCACTGAAAAATCTGAAGAATTTCAATATTTCTCGCAGGTTTGTTCAAATCTTCCTCCTTAAGAAATGAGTACAGCATTGTGTCATACAGTGAAGCATTTACGCATGATTTAATACAAAAACATTTCAGCTGCTTGGCAAATGTTCATGACTTGACTGACTGAATAACTATGTCCATCAAACCCCATAAAACTTGCCCAACATTGCAAAAAAGCCTTATTCAAATATTCTGCTTCCCCAGTACAGTACTGTAGTTGATAATATTAAACAACATTTGTCGTACGTTCTTTTCCTCCCCGTATATATGGAAACAGTTCATGAACAGTATAAAGCCTCAAAACCCGCCTCTTTGAATGTGATGATCAGCTCTTTGACGACGACATTCTCCTTCAAATGAAATTCATTCGTCTGGTCCCCAGTGTACCACTACACAGTATTGTACATTGAAGAGAACCCTGATTTACGACAGATAGACCCTGATAACTCAAATATATCTCAGTTGTAATCCCCTGTATTTAAATTTTGTAGAGACTCTGTCTGAATTCTTTTCAAACCAATTTAGGATAAGCCTCTGGAACAAAAAGACTTTCTCCCTCAAACATCCATAGCTCGAAATTTCTGGAGGCCTTTGGGCCATTATTCTGGTTACTCAGGAAAGAGAAACCAATGAAAATTTCAACACGATGCTGTTCAAAAGGAAGTGAGTGACGAACTCTTGACTTCAAGTTTAGCATCCAAGCAACTCAGTTATTCTGCACCTCAAAGCTCAAAAGATCAAGAATAATTGAGCTTCCAGTAATCACTCGCATTTAATCCTTATATCTAGCGGAAAAAAAGCCGTTTCCCTAACTCAAAACCTCCCAAAGTCGGTTTTTTTCCTTTCGCTCATTCCTCGAAGTTAGACTAGAAGAGGTTCAACTGCACGCATTCTACTCGAAACCTCTCTCGAGTCGATTTGTTGCATGGTCAATTCAAATTCGGCTTAGTGAGGTCCGATTGTGATTGTCTTGTTCTCTAAATAGAACAAANGGACAGCACCAGGCTTTTTTCATCGAATAACATTTTTGGGCGACCCGGTATTATGCAGTAAAAGGCCTCACAAGCTTCTTGGTCCGACTGTCTCGAAGAGCTTGGGGCCACACAATCAAATAAATCAGGATTATGCTACTACAGACCAATGTGCAATGACCCGAAGCACAGCAACGAACACGGGGCATCTTATTTCGTCGCAATGACCGACCAGATTTTAGTACTGTGGCATAATCTCGTTAATACCTAGTGCTTCGTTCAACAGAAACTACAGTCGAACCTCTCTAAGTCGAATACCTCTACGTGTTCACTTGTTTTCAAGTCCCTTTCTGAATTCCCTACGAAAAAAGTGCATAAAAACATCTCCAACTCGAAAATATTTCCCCTCTAACCTGAACCTCGATAACTCGCATTTTCTGAAGGCATGTTGGCTTTTATTTCATTGACACAGGAAAGATAAAAACAGTAAAAAGTTTAATTGACGTGCTTTGAAACGAGAGGAAGACTAATTGGGCAAGTAAACCCTAGCATTCAAGTTCAGCATCCTGAAAACTAATTTAAAAAGGAATTTAAGGCCCACAATATCCCCAATTAAAATTCCCTGCAATTCTTTCTTCCCCGCAACAAAAACCCTTGGCTCTGTGCGACTCAAAAAGATTCAACTGTATAAAATAAAAATCTCTCATCGCTTTGGTCTGAATTGAATTTTTTTTAGCCTACAGTACATCAAATAAAACATCGCACACATTTACAGTGTGCTGACCTTTGGACACCTTGGCATTGGACACGGGAGAAAAACTGTCTGGGTGACGAATTGTTTTCTCGGCACCGCATAATTGGACCAGCAAAACGTAGGTGAACTTTAATTAAATTGAATCCCCGAGAGACTGGTTCGTAAGCACACAGAGAACAAACAAAATTCCTTCCGGGTCTCGGATGAAACCCACGGGGTCAATATCCGGCGCAAACATTACCACATCAAACTGACAAATTAAAGGGGGATGGGAAGAAATTCGACGCACCGTCTTGAGAATATGTCAGAAATAAGCACAGTACTAGAGCTCAAAGGACTCATGAACCTCTCACGACCTCTAGATAATCTCAAATTCCAAATCCGGAGACTTATTTTCTTTTTCAGAGAATGCTACTGCATAAAGCCATCACAAAGGGCATTCCCTATTTTTTATGCAGAGCTGAAATGTAGACGGATTCCATTAGAATATGGGACAGGTTTTAGTATTCTCAGAGCGTCATAAGCTTCTCATATCTTTTTAGGCGCGTATTAAATCATGGAATCCAAGCAGCACTTCCTGGAAATGAAAAATTGTACGGTTTCAGTCCACAAGTACTGGTTTCACATGGAATGACAAATTCCTATACAGTAGTAATTTTTCAAAAGCGTCCTTCGACATGTATTGAAAACGGCAGATTGAAAACTTCGAACATCTCGAAAATTAAATAATACAAAAGGGGCTCAATTATTGAAAACCCAGTTCTTCATTCCCGGCGACAATTTGTCGCACAGTGCTTTCTAAAATTTCTGTCACGATATTAAGTTGAAGGAAAAGCTTGTATACTTTTTGAGGAATCAAAAAATTAAGGATAATACAGATAAATGCAGAAAAATGATTAATTCCCAGAGACACTTCATCTCACAGAAAAATCTGAAGAATTTCAATATTTCTCGCAGGTCTGTTCAAATCTTCCTCCTTAAGAAAGGATTACAGTATTGTGTCTCACAGTAAAACATTTACGCATAATTTGATACAAAAACCTTTCAGCTGCTTGGCAAATTTACATGACTTGACTGACTGAATAACTATGTCCATCAAACCCCATAAAACTTGCCCAACATTGCAAAAAAGCCTTATTCAAATATTCTGCTTCCCCAGTACAGTAGTTGATAATATTAAACAACATTTGTCGCACGTTCTTTTTCTCCCCGTATATATGGAAACAGTTCATGAACAGTATAAAGCCTCAAAACCCGCCTCTTTGAATGTGATGATCAGCTCTTTCACGACGACATTCTCCTTCAAATGAAATTCATTCGTCTGGTCCCCAGTGTACCACTACACAGTATTGTACATTGAAGAGAACCCTGATTTACTACAGATAGACCCTGATAACTCAAATATATCTCAGTTGTAATCCCCTGTATTTAAATTTTGTAGAGACTCTGTCTGAATTCTTTTCAAACCAATTTAGGATAAGCCTCTGGAACAAAAAGACTTTCTCCCTCAAACATCCATAGCTCGAAATTTCTGGAGGCCCTTGGGCCATTATTCTGGTTACTCAGCAAAGAGAAACCAATCAAAAATTTAACATGATGCTGTTCAAAAGGAAGTGAGTGACGAACTCTTGACTTCAAGTTTAGCATCCTAGCAACTCAGTTATTCTGCACCTCAAAGCTCAAAAGATCAAGAATAATTGTGCTTCCAGTAATCACTCGCATTTAATCCTTATATCTAGCGAAAAAAAAAGCCGTTTCCCTAACTCAAAACCTCCCAAAGTCGGTTTTTTTCTTTCGCTAATCCCTTGAAGTTCCTGATCTTCTCCAAGTTGACGTGCGTAAGATGAGCTTTGGAGAGAGCTCAGCTAAACAACGTACCAGTTAAGTTTAAGCCGAATCACTCCAGGCTAACACTAACAGAACAAGAGATTTATCTTGTTTAATAGTTTGAAGAGCAATAGATAGAAGGGCAGGCCTGGAGCAAGAGCAAGAGTTCAAGCCCAAGTCACTCTTCCTCAGCATCATGCATACACATACACACTGGCAACAAGTCGAGACTTCAATCCCAGCTGCTTTTTCCAACACGGTATTATAGCATTTTCAAATAAAATTTCCTTTACGTCCTCACTGTACACCTTTCCAAGACAAAAAAAAAAGATTTTGTGGAATACCGATGTTTAAGCTGAACCAGGCTTGCATAAACAGAAAGAAAGGTTTTTTTTATTTTTTCTACTTCTCAATACGTCATGACATATATATACCATCTATCTTCCCGTCCGGACCTCGTTCTGGTTCAGCGAGACCTTCAGCATCACACACACACCCACACCGTCCAACAGACGAGATTTCAGCCCCAATTACTTCTTTCAAAATTTACAGCAAGCATCTTCAGACCTAATTTCCCCAACTTCCCTAACTTAAAAGAATTACATCTTTGAAAATTTACAGAAAGCATCTTCCGACCTAATTTCCCTAACTTGAAACTTCTCCGGATAGAATCTTTTTTAATGATTCATTCAAACTCGACTCACAGAGGTCCGACAGTATTTGTGTTTTTTCTAAATAATTTCAAATAGGAGGGTAGGCCTGGAGCAAGACCAATCAAGTTGCTCTTCCTCAGCATCTGACACACACACACACACACACACACATAAACCCACTGGCCACGATGAGACCAGAGAATAATCTCGCGGAAGGTGTTTCGTCTTGCTGCGAGTGCCAGTGGCAACTCTGGCCGTCGGATGGCGATTACCGCGCGTGATCATTCCGGATTCCTCTCGGTTCTGGCCAACGACCCCAAACAGCACCCATCAGAGTTTAAAAAAAAAAAAAAAAAAAAAAAAGAATACGAAGACCTATGACCCAGGGTCTCCACCGACGCTTGGCCCGGGTCCCACAACCTTTCTGCCCGAGCAGACCGCAGACCGCAACCAGAGCCGCCTGATTTTTCAAGCGTCTAGCCCGGTTTTAAAACGCAAAACCCGAGTTCATTTTGTTTTCGTGTTATTTTTTGTTTTCCGTCGAAATGGGCAAACCGACCAATGAGTCCACATGCCCACCTCAAAAATACAGGTACCGTAATCCATGTTACACGCGGAAATCCTGAATGAAGTGAGCAGGAGTCACATTTCATTTAAACTATTACCAGCACATACAGTAAAATTTCTTTACAACAAATAAGTTCACAAAAAATTATTCAAAGGAAGTAAATGAAAAAAAAAATCTCGGCATGTCCAGTGTGAAAAATTTTTGGTCATTCGTTTTGAAAATCTTGTCATAACAAACAACAGTATTTACGCAAAAGCTTTTCTGAAGTCCCTAAAGTTTTTGGTAACAAGACCTAAATGCTTTCGCAGTTTTGACGCTTTCAAAAAGAAAAGATTTGGGTGTATAATACTGTGTAATAGTTTCAAGTCTTCAGTGTCATGCAGCATAACCATGCGAATTAGTCATTGGCATTTACAAAAACGAATCGCCATTGCTTCCGTTCCCTGAATACATGAACGCATCGCATGAGTTTCCGAACGACAATAGTGAACATTTTTAAATTTACACAGCGAAATATTTTTGATAATTCAGAAAATCCTAGAATTTCTCCAGCGAAATGCGAATGCCAACAGAAAAAAAAATCCCCGGATGAAGTTCACATTAGCATGAAATTACATCGATCAATAAGTTTCTCTCGAGGGGGTCGATATCAATCAAACTTTCTACACGCACCAATCCGTTCGGCCACAAATAAGGACGTTACCTTTCACAAGTACCGGCAAGAAGTCGACCTTCCCTGAGAAAAATGCAAATAAAAATTGTAGATTCGAAGGCAATAGTCGTCATCGATCCTACAGAATCTGCCACAAATCCTCAGACTCGAAAAATAATTATCCACTCAGCCCAGAAAATGCCGCGATTCACCTTCCGCAAAAATACAAGAGGAACAACTTTGAACCTGGAAAGAAATTTTTCCTCGGCCATAAAACAACTGCTTTAAAATAAAACAAAGATGGTCATTCAGCCTCACAGAATTCTGTGACCAACAACAAGAAACAGATGCAGTAATTGATTTGAATCAAAGCATCTTCAAGTTTTCATCCAGTACTTGACAAACATGGTCTCCGGTCGAATGGCCTACAGTACAGTATATTGAATCGTGAAAAATACCAAACGCCAGAAGCAGAAACACGTTTTTTTCTTCGTAATTTGCTACACGAAAATACCATATTTTTCAGCCGTTATGGGAAATCAAGAATTCAAAAATCCATCGAATACTATCCTCGGAGAATCCGATTTAATACTTTCTGACCTGGCTTTTCAGCTTTTTGCGCGAATGCGTAAACTGTACAGCGTTCGTCAGCAATTATTGCAATTTTTTTCTTAATACTCAGTCATGAGAGATTCCCGAAGAAAATCCGCACCTTCTATGGGACTTCAAGTCGCTCACAAGCGCACATCAACGTCCTTCATCCAGCAAAAGCCTCGTCTAATTTAAAATTTAAAATTCCGGAAACCTGGCGACTTTCTGAAGCCTAACAAAACAAAACAAAATACCCCCACATCGGCGAATTCCCCCTGCGATCAAAGAACAACGTTTCATATCACGGGGAAAATCCGAGTTTAACGCATCAGGCAACGCAGACGCGTCCAAGTGAAACGGTTACGAAATGCATTACCAAAAGATCGTGCACATCGAGAAGAAACAAACAAAAAAAAGATTGTACACGTAGTCAGTCGAGCTGTTTTCTGCTTTGGCTGCTGCAGCTGCTTCAACACGCTTCCGAGAGTTCTTAAATTTTGCCGTGCACCAGGAGAGAGCATTGCTCCTTCCCCGTTACACGGCTCACACGCGACTTTTTCGCAGCTCAGATTCGCGAACGCATCTGTCCGACTATATGCACAGCTAATAAATAAAATTTAAAAAAGTCACTGAGAAAAGAAAAGAATTTGTATTCTGTTTAGCCACGCATCACGTTTGCCGGGGAATGTCAAGTTTCAAAACCTGGATAGATTAGAACCCGGAAAAATCGCCAGAGGAGCACGCGCAGAAAAAAGCAAGTGCGTAAATCAGACACACAAGAGAGAAGAAAAAAAAACTGCAAAAGGTTAGGTTCAGTCTGACTTGCGAAGGTTTGGTATTTGTTATAAGCAAAAAAGTGCAGAGAAATACCGTTACAAAGAATTTTTCATCATAGCGATTTTTGCGGTCTCAGCAGTTTCTTCAAGGGAACCCTGTCGAAATAATCTCGTTTTAAAGAACTAACTTTTTCCTATTTCATCATAACGGACTTTTTGCCCTGTTTCTAAGAATAAGAATTACTCCATTATGCAAAAAAGTGGGAAAATGCAGCCTGTTCAAGTGCATCAAGAAAGCAGAAATTGTTTTGAGAAGAAGATTTAGCACACGATTGAAAAAAACGCAGCTTTTTCTTTTAATTTATTCAGACTAATCCGAGAATTTTGCAATGGCTCTGGTTTAGTTAAACAGTACAGTATGTCAAGAATCATGTACCTCTTATGCAGAGAAAAAACTGACGTACTTGATTACATATTGTTATACAGTACCTGACTTTCGTATCCTTTTATTTTTGAATAAGATCATGAACAATAAAGAATAAGGAGATTTGAAGCTAGGTAGGTACAAAATTAAACATGTTTTCCAAAATTTTCCATCTGCATTTCATCAAAAATATTCAGGACTAACGATGTCTTCAATATACTCGTATACCGTTCGTTGCAGAAGCACATCACATGTTTAGTACCCATCAACAACCAAATGTATCCCATACATGTTTTCAAAATGATGAAACACGATCTGTTCAGTGATTTTTTCAAGGTCCCTGGGAGTTCCTGGTAACAAGATTTTACTGTATGAGAATGAGAATTACGAAGTTATATTCGAGTAGGTTACATAGACCTTTATATTTTTCTGCCTCAGGTCTTCCGGACATTTCGAGTCTTTTTGCATCCTTTTTCTTCCAATACTCTCGTTAGATTGCCATTCGAGTGTTGCTATTTCTTAATGCATTAAAATTCATCAAAGTTGAACAGTTTCTGAAAAGCCTTCCGAGATTATTAATCCAACATAATCTGCTTCCGTTCATTCGAGTCATACAGAAAACAAAATGATATGTTAAAATATCAGTCGCGTCACAAGAACGATCCTCAAGACACATTACATTACATGTCATGCAGTAACACTTTCGGAGGAATTCCAAGTGAACGTCGCGAAGCACAGTTCCCCTATTAACAAAATTATCTGCACTGATGAATTCATCCACGATTCCAGGTTGCGCACGATGACCCCAAGTAAATCAGGTTGACCTCGGCTTTACGAGCTGCAAAAAATACGTCGTTAAAACTATCACAGCCCACGCAAAAGGGACATAAGCTGGAACACGATCGAGTCCACGCCGTAATGACCAACGCCATTTACTCGTATTGTACAACGCACAAGACCGTTAATCAATTCGGTGAAATTAATTGCTGTGCGCGCTCAATAATTTAATAATCCATGGTCACATTTGATTATCCAAAAGGAATTGATTTTGTAATATGTTCCTTGATATTGAGTGTAGAAGACAAATGATTGTTACTTGGGTGGAATATGTGGGTAAAATGAATCCAGAAAGTTTCTGAGCCTTTCAAGTGGGATCACATTTTGAATTTTGTCCAGCACAAACAAACATTGTATTCGAGTGGTTAGATATCACTGGCAAGCACAACCGCATTTTAATTTCATTCTGAGCCATCCAAAGTTGAATTTCAATTTTATTTTAAATAAAGAAAGAAATGAAAACCGATTTTAGGATTATTCTTCGTATTTCGTTCGAAAAACTTGTGTTTTTCACCATCACTCGTTTTGCTCTTCTACATGTATCACCCAAGTTTCCGTGGTTGATATGATTGCGTATACAGTATTTCTGGCAGATCAAAACAATTTTAATTGCTCTGAAAAACTTAACTTAGTTTATTCCATTTCAGTATAATTTTGATTCAAATAAATAATTTTCAAAATACTGTACACTTATACATCTATCAAAACACATGCCAATGATTCGAGCATTTTTCCCAACTTTTTGTCAAAAGATGGAACCAAAAAGACGGAAATTCCAACCTTTCTGGCGGAAACATTTTTATATTCAACATTTTCGGAATCGAATCAAAATTAGATTGAAACCTATGAAAAAAGCCACACGTCATTCACAAATCACAATACATCGATTTCATTTAGCAGGCTTCTAAAACTGCAGCCCGAACCGACACACATAAGCCTTGCAACTACTTGTATACACATTTCGTAAACGAGAAATGCTATGATCGTCGGTAATTTACGACGCCTAGTTTCTATATCTGATTAGTTCGATGGAACTTGTCGCTCGTTCCGTCGAGTCAAGTCAAAAATCCGACATCATAGAAGACGTAATGACAATTGAAAGAAATGAAAAAATAAACCAATTCTTCTCACAAATGAGACCACCTCAGTCGTGTTCGTGGGGGGAATTTCGGGAGTGCTCACCATGCTTCTCGAGAGCAAGTTTGGTTTACAAACCCCATTCTTTCACAGCGCGTCGGATTCCTTTTTCCCTTTCCCACGAAGCCCTGGATTGGCAATGACATTTCCGGCATTCGCCCGCCACAATTTCGGGTTCCCGAAATAGGGGTGAAATATGAGGGGTCTAACGAAAGTTATCGGAATAGAAACTGAAATAGCATACTGTACGAATGAGCTGAAAAACAATTATTCTCCAGGGAAGAACTTTTATTGGCACAA